ATGTCCTGCTGAACGAGAGCTCAAAATACCAATGGGAGATGGATGTGTAGGTGCTGAGCTATAAAACAGTGTGAAGGACCATGTAGTCCAAGGCTAGAGCAGATTGCACCCAGGAAAGACCTCACTGATACACCCTGAGCTGAGGCAGGAAGGGGCCATTGCACAGAGGTGCTGTGGGCACGTTGGTGAGTTGTCTGCTGGAGATGTGTGGTACATATTCACAAACCCTGTAGACAAGGCCCTCAGTGACATGGGTTAGTGGTGGCCTTGGCAGAGCTGGGGTAAAGGTTGGACTTGATCTTAAAGATCTTTTCCAACCAAGTTGATTCTATGATGGGAAGAAGCTGAAGGACCTGGTGTACTATTTGGGTTTGAATTTTGGGCTTCAGGTGAATTTGGGTCCTGAGTCCCCCTCCTGTGGGTCCATTTAGTTGCTTTGGACACCTGAGCATGGGCTTGCTGGGGCTGAATTCGTATGTTGCTCGTCTGGGCGCCCAGTGGTGCAGAGAGGAGATGCTTCCAGCTACATCTCTGCAGATGGCTGGTGGTTCCATCTGCCAAGCCTTGGAGACCTGATCCCTTTTAATGTCCCACCTGGAGTGCTCCCCATGGCCAGGACGTGGATGGGGCTGGTGGGAGCTGCTTTGCTGCTCCTGGCAAGCATCTAACGGGGAAAGAGGGACAACTTTCTCTCCATCTCCCATGCCTGCTACATGAAGGGATGAACACCACGGGTGAAGCTCTATCTTGGAGCTGGGCTGGGAGGTGAAGAGAAAGGGATAAATAGGCCAAGGTGAAGGGGTGGGAGTTTGGTGATCTGGGGCTCAGTGAAGGGTGGATGGGGATGGTCTGTGTGTGGGGAGGTGAAGCTGTACCAGCTGAAGAACTGATGCAGAGGTCTACAAGGAAATGGAATCAGTGGGAAGGTGGGCAGGGGTGGATTGGACAACATGGACAGACACCATGGGCTGTGTCTGGAGTAGTCAGGGAAGCACCTGCACCTCTTGGGGTCAAAACTCACCTGAAGCCGTGAGGTGGCCCTGGCCTGGGGCCACTTGTGAAGGACCATATGGACGGGGAGGTTGGTGCTGTCCCAGTTGTGTCTATGGAAGGTGCTGATGGAGAATGGGGTGGTTGCAAAGACAACCTTAAAACCCAGAGAATCCCCAGGAGGAGAAATTGGGGAATCCAAACGCTGGGAACCACATCCAGATACGTGGTTCTGGGCAATCTGGTCTAGTTGAAGATGTCCCTGCTCATTGCAAGGGGTTGGACGAGATGAGTTTTAAGGTCCCTTCCAGCCCAAACTGTTCTATGATTCTACCCCTCCTGAGGTCCCTTGACCAGTCCTGCTTTCCCTTCCCAATGCACTGAGGATTGTGTTTAGGGACAGCTTGTGTACGGGGACCTGGGAGCGAGTAGGGACTGGACTGTGGTGGGGACAGGGCCGTGAGGCTGAGCTGGAGGGAGGTTTTGGATACCCAATGGGCCCACACAGACCCAACAGAGCACCCAGTGGAGACGATGGGACAACAAAGCATGGGAAACTCAAGAGATCATAGCTTTAATAGGGACCTTCCCGAGGTGACACGTCCCCTTGCCCTGGAGCAGACATGAGGCTCTTCCCCGTGCATGGAAATGTCCAGGAGGAGCGACGGAGGAGATCAGGGAGGAGAGAAGGAGGAAGAAGAGATATGAAAGTGAGCTCGATGGGTCAAAACTATACAACACTGCTATCATACATGGCCATCAGTCCCCTCTGGCCCACGGAGGGTCACTTCCTCCTCCCAATCTGGGCCATGAGGTGGGCATTGGCAGCTGCCTTCGCCCGCAAGTTCTTGGCTTTGGCGATGTTGAAGAGGATGTTCATGATGTTGGTGGGGACGTCGAGGGAGAGGGTGACCTTGGTGCGGCGGTCGCTCTTGGCTCGGTTTTGGTACGTCTTCCCCTTCACCTGCGCTTGGGACACGTATTTGTAATGGCCTTCCCCTGGGAACGTCCTTTTCCCTACCTCTTCCTCTGCCACGTCGTCCCCTTCCTGCTCCTCAGACCCCTCTTCCAGCGATGGGGACTCGAAGCTGCGTTTGTCCAAGAAGGTGTTTTCCTCTGGGAGGCTCTTCTGGCCTTCAGCGAGGGCCGTGTTGAGGCAGCTGAGGATGGAGGCGGGGTTGTAGACACGGAGGGCACGGCTGCTCTCGGCGGCACAGAGCAGGGCGAGGAGGAGCAGCAGCCTGGAGTGGGACATCGCGGTGGCCTGTCCAATGGAGAGAGCAAGGGGAGGGCAGAGATGGGCATGAGCATCCCGCGGGGCCCGCGGCAGAGCATCCTCATCCCCTCGTCCTCCCATGGACCCTGGTTCACCTCCCAGGTCCCCACCAAGTCCCATCTAATCATCAGGATGCACAGGAATGCATTGATCTAGGGCCTTCTCCCTTCCAGTGTCTGAAGGGGGCTACAAGGATGTTGGAGAGGGACCTTCATCAGGGACTGGAGTGATAGGACAAGGGGTGATGGATTCAGACTGAAACAGGGGAAGTTCAGGTTGGAGATAAGGCAGAAGCTCTTCCCTGTGAGGGTGCTGAGGCGCTGGCACAGGGTGCCCAGAGAAGCTGTGGCTGCCCCATCCCTGGCAGTGTTCAAGGCCAGGTTGGACACAGGGGCTTGGAGCAACCTGCTCTAGTGGAAGGTGTCCCTGCCCGGGGCAGGGGTTGGAGCTGGAGGAGCTTTAAGGTCCTTTCCAATACAAACCACTCTGGGGTTCTATAAGGTGCAGCCCCCCACCTCTTGGTTTCAGAGTGCTGGGTGGGAGGTGGGATGCCCAAGGCACTTGGCAAGGCTGCAGCCTCCATGGAGGGGAGGATTTGGACATCCCTTTGTCAAACACACGTGCCTGCTGCAGGAGAGCTGGTTTACCAGGGTCCCTCCTTGCTTGAGGCAATCTCGTTGCAGCCCCCATGTAGCCATCTCCACCTTGCTGATGCCTCCCCAGAGTAACTGTGAGTACCACCAGTAAAAGTAGGGTTTCCTTTCAGCTCCTCTCTGGTCAGCCTGAAGCTACCAGAGACGTTTCTGTGCTCCTTCAAGCCAGCAATTGCCCATCCACTTGCTCAGGCAACTTAGTCCAAAAGGGACCACAAGAGTGGGGTACAGCCACCCCCAGTGCTGGAGATGCGATCTACCACCCATTTAGTGTGATGGCCCCATGACCCCTCTCCAACCCTGGCCTTGGGTGCTCTAGGGATGCCCATTATACTGTGCTCCATCCCCAGGAACCCCCCTCCACCCTGGGCACAGGACAGGGTCCCCCATCTGATGGCACAACTGGGGTGAAATCCCCCCATGGACAGCCCTGACCGGGGACATGGGGGCACCACCAGAATCACAGCACAGCAGTATCCTCCCTGCTTGAAACACAGGAGGATGCGTTTTGGGGTCGTTTTGGGGTCTTGAGGGGGGATGAAAACCTTGGGATAACCCTCCAGCTCTGGAAAACCTCCCGTCTCTGAGGTCGGACCAGCCGATAAGTGACACATCTCTCTATATGCCCCCTGGCCACCAAAAAGGCTGCTTGGGGTCTCCTGGTGAGTGTCTGAGACCAAGCTGAGGACTGAGAAGTGTCCCCGAGGGCACACGGACCCCGCAAGCGCCCGGAGCTCTCCCGGCATTCCCAATGTTCGGGCCCCATCTTGTGGTGAGCACGTCTCATGGCAAGCCCTGGTCTGGGGACAGTCCCCGGACGTGTTGGGACCCCAGGTTTGACGTGGGGTGGTGAGATGGGGATGTGTTTCCTATGAGGATGGGATTGCGGAGGAGACAAACAGGGGGGGAAGCCCCTGGGAATGTCTTGAGGAGCAGGATGGCTCCTGCGAGTCCCTGTGGATGTCGGTGTCTTGGGGCCACCGCTTGGGATGGAGTTTGTGCCTTGATGTAGGACGGGTGGGTGGTGGGGAGGTGTCCTCAGGCTGATCCAAATCAGATCAACCCCCTTGTCCCCAGGAGCTGCCGCCCTGGAGCTGCTCTTCTGCCGCAGAGCCTCAAACTGCCGTCACCTTAACTCTGCCTTTGCTGTTCTATGGAGGGGGAGGTGGGGACGGGTTTATCCCCTGAATCCTGTCCTGAGAAGGGCACCGGAGCTGGAGCAGGGCCTGGAGCACAAGTGTGATGGGGAAGGGCTGAGGGACCTGGGGGTTTAGTGTGGAGAAGAGAAGGCTCAGGGGGACCTGATCGCTCTCTGCAACTGCCTGACAGGAGGATGGAGCCAGGAGGGGGCTGGTCTCTGCTCCCAAGGAACAAGGGATGGCACAAGAGGAACCGGCCTCAAGCTGCCCCAGGGCAGGTTTAGCTGGAGCTGAGGAACAATTCCTTGCCCAGAGGGTGCTCAGGCATTGGAACAGGCTGCCCAGGGCAGGGCTGGAGGCACCGTCCCTGCAAGTGTTCACAGCCCGTGGAGCCGAGGCCTCAGTGCCAGGGGTCAGTGGTGGCCTTGGCAGGGCTGGGAATGGTTGGGCTGGATGAGCTTAAAGGGCTTTCCCAACCTGGCTGATTCCATGATTCTGTGATTGCCACTTGCCCTGCCCAGAACCCCACAGAGCTCCCCCAGGCACCAACCATCCCCTTAACCCTGCCCTGCACTGAGGACATGCAGCAGTGTGGAAAAACCCAGGGAACACCAGCAAATCCTTGTAGGAAAAGGGAGGAAAACCCCTCTAGACACCCAGCCCTCATGTCTTTGGAGACCCAAAACTCTCCTTCCTTCAGCCCCCAATCAGACATTTAAATCCTGGCATTTAGTTTTGGGTTGCAAAAGCTCAAGAGGACAAAGATTTTTCTCCCACCTCAAAGCCTCCCCCTTTGCTGTGCTTCAGCCCCAGGTGAAGCATCTCCCACAGTAACTCCTTGCACCCCCCGCTACCAGGATTTGGGGCATGAATGGATTATTTTTTCACCCCAATCTGCATCCCCTGTTCTCCTGCGTGACCCGAAGCTGCTGGATGGAGAACGGGAATGGTACCCAAAGCTGCTGGGAGAGAGCTGTGCTGGTTAGAGATGCTGCTGCCCTCTCTAAAACCACAGAGCAGCATCTCCACCTCTCCCCAGCAGCTATTCCACCACTGTCCGAAACTTGTGGCATTCAGGAAAACCCATTGGGGACCTCAGGAAAGGCAGAGCAAGGGGGAAGCATGGCTGAGACACATCCACACCCTGCTGCTGTTTTCCCCGTCCTCGGCTGTTGGTGGATATCCTGGTGAAAAGAGCAAAAATCAAGGAAAAGCAGCGCCCGCACCTGCTGGATGGGCAGAAAAAGCTGATTTTGGGGGCTTAGTTTCTTTTTGCATGGTGGTTTTGTGCCCAGGCATGCCAGGAGGTTTGTATGGAGCAGGAAAAAAGCTGGAATTGGGGTTTTCTCCCCCTGAAAGAAGCAGGAAAAGAAGAAAACCCACATGGGGTGGATCTGAGGAAGTCGGAGTTAACTCTGCCGCTGCTCCGGGTGACCTGCAGGTGCTGTTCCCGCTGATGGGAATTGCTGGGATGCCCACGAGCAATTTATAGGCATTATACTGAGATGGTGCTGACAGGCACAGCAGGACCTGCTCAGCTGAGGATCTGCCTCTTGGATTTAAAAGAGAAAATCACTCTGGGAAGGTGGCTCCGGCAAAGTGGGATCAAAGTGATTTGCTGCTCGTCGGCACCGGAGGCAGTGGATAAAACTGATTCTCTCCCCATCAAAAAGTAAGTCTGGGATAAAACGATGCTGTGGATGAGACCTTTAGACCCTTTAAACTCTCTTTGTGAGATGCCACCTCCACTTTCCTAATGAATCCCTCCTGAGGATGCTGATTCCCAGGGGCTCCATAGTGCAAACTGACCCCGTGGGGCTGTGCCCTCCTCTCCTCCCCATCCCTGTAACCGCAGCACTGATTCATTGCTCCACTTCTCCATTTCCCAAGATTTCCCAACTCTTCCCAGCCTCCAAAAATTGATACAACAATAAAAAAGAGATTCCTTTGGTTAGGAGGGAGGATGGGGGGAGTCTCAACACAATATCCCAAACTGCTTTTCCCAATCCTGCCTTTTTCTTGTGGAGAAATGCGGGATGTGATCTCCCAAGGCAAACACTAGAACACTTCAACTTTGTGCAGATAGAGCTGCTTTATGGTTAATCAATGAAACCCAGGCACTCACCTGGTAGTCCTCGGTGCTTGGGATGGGAAGGGGTTGCTGTGGGCTCACTCCAAGGAGAGAAGCATCAGGCACGTCACCCTGAACTTCTGTGCCCTCGCTTTGCTTTTCTTGTTCTTAAGGAGGGCTCTGCTGGTTTTATTCTCTCTATGGAAACGCTTTTCCCCTCCCTCGTGTATATATAAAAGTGAGTGATCACGGGGTCAGAGTCGTAACTCCAGACGTGGAGCCTTCATTTGGGCATGATTTCATTAAGCTGAAATCAGAGGGAGCTGGCAACGTCACGGGGCTGCGGCGCCGCTCCCCATTCACAGGGAGCAAAAAAGGAGGGGGGAAAAGGGCAAAACCAGACGTCTGAACCTGACAACCTGCTGAGAGTTATCCCAAAATGGGGCTGTCACCAATGCTGGGACATTGCGGGGGCTCACAGACATGTTTTTCCCCCATTCCTCCACATAGACAAGCACTTGGTGCAAGGATGCTTTAAGTGCAAAGGGGTTTATGCCTCCTAAGGATGCCTGTTGGAGTTTTCAGTTCTGATTAAGTGTTATCCCAATTAATGTGCTTCTGTTTGAAGAGTGGGGCTGGTGGAGGACCTCAGCAGGGTTTTGCCCCAGGCCAGATGATGTTAAGATCCTTTTCAGCCCTAACTGTTCTATGGTTCTATAACCCCTACCTGCAGCATTGACAGACTTGCCCCACTCACACTCTGCTCTCTGCCTGGTTTCCCATCTCTGGAGGCTTTTCTCCTCCCATAGAGGCAGGAAAACCTGTGGAAGATGGAAAATATGGGGAAGTTCTTGCAGGATGTGGTTCCACAGCCCCAGAGGCAGCATTTGAAGCAGGAGAGGGTGTGAGGATAATGTTTGTCTTGAGAAAAAACCCTCAGCTCCCCAAAGCCACTGAGGTCCAGCAGAATTAACTCAGATTGCCCCAAGACAGCAGCAAGGCAGGAAAACCCCCTCTGGTTCTGGTTCTAGCGTGGTCAGAGGGACGTCTTCTACAGTGCCCCATGGTATTGGTTTGCAAAGGCAAGTGCTTTGTACTACAAAGAGGATGGGGATG